GGTTTACAACACGTTGCTAAAGATAAAATAGTTGTTTGTAACATTTAAAGCTAATCTAGGTAGGCATGGAGTTAGTTATATATACCTAAATTAACGGGATGAAGAGGGAGTGAAATATACAATATATGGCAGAAGAAGTTTGGCACTGCTAAAGAGCGGAATCCGATTATTCACACGCCCACAAAATGCCGTAATTCCGAAACCCAAGTTCGAAATTTAGGTTCAAAGCTATTATTTGATCGCAATGTGGCACCGCGTTTAGGTGAAATCGTATATCAAAAGGATTAATAGACTTATTTCTTCTAAATTTGGTGCACAAGCAGATAACATACCACTAATCAATTATAATAATTTATAAAATTTATTGAAAAAAAACACGCATATAAATTAGCTGATTAAATTTAAAATTGCATTTTATGTTATGTAAATATTTGTAATAAAAGAAACAGATTTCTTGTATCAATTTATACAAATACTTGTATATGAAACTGTAAGCTCCATTAGAAGATAGGACCATGCAACGGCAATAATTTTTATTCCTATAAATCTCTTGTTATTCAGTCACCCCCTATGTGTTAATATGGGCAGCATATACTCGAATAATTTGTCGTTTGAATTTTTATTTTTTTTCTGAAATAATTCGAAAAATGTGTTATTTTTCGGGTTTTAAGTCGCACCAGTTGAGACATGGATTTTCACGAGAATTGTTTCTCATTAATAACACATTATGGGATTTGACATTATTCTCGATAAGTAGTTGAACTGTAAACAAATATCATAAATTTAAGCTTTACAAAGCAATAATTATTGCTTGTAAACCGTATGGAACTAGATGGATCAGTCGCCTAAGCGACGGAAATATGTACATAGTCTTGAAAGAACTATTAACTGCTAAAATCAGCAGCATCGAGAAAGTTTCTGAAATGCATTTTGCAATAACGGACATAAAATAAAAATTCTTTTGACATGTATTTATTGAATATATAGGGAAATATAATCCTGATAAACTAACTAACGAGAACCACACTTCCTATACGTTATATAAAAGTTCTGTGCGTAATGAATGAAAAGTCCATGCTTCAAAAATGAATAAAAGTTCAGCTTGAAAGAAGATCATTTGTTGGACAGTAAGAGTTAAAACAACAGTTTCCCATGTTCGTTTAATGTTCTCACAATCCACTACATATGCTCCATTTTGTACGTAATTAAATCAACAAGACAGCAAGACACAACAAAGTTGCAAGCCAATTAACACAAAATTATGCAGAAACACAAATTTTAGTTACACAATGTCAGCACCGCGTCGGCAACTGAATAGTCGCCGGAGGAAAACAAAAGTTATTGCTGTAGAAACCTGAAAAGAGCAGATAGTTCGGGGATTATAGCAAACAAATCATTCCAACGTAAAAAAGCAATATAAAAGAGCTTACCATTTGCCGCCTAACGCCGGTGCGCACTTGTCGTCTGTCACGGGCAACTTATGAGCAGAACGTAATCCAGTTGTCAGCATACCACGCCAAACTTTGTCACTTCAAAAATTTATTTAAATGTTAATTTAAAAACTTTTCTCAATGTTAGCACAGTTTTGTTCTCGTAAATGGAAATTTCACTTCAATTTTTTTCTTCGAAATAATTTTTACTTGCTCTATTGCCTTGCGCTTGTGAACGTGAAGAAGCCGGCAAAACTGTGCGTGGAGCTTATTTTCTGTCTGAAATGTGTACGAGTACATGCAAATAAGCTGAAACTGAAACACACATCTCCGCAAATATATGTATGACACATAGTAAGTAGGAAAGGACTGTGTTCCGGTGTAACCGAACATACCACTACTTTGAGAAGTTTGAAATTTTTATATTAAGTATGAGGGCTAGAAGTAATAATGACAAATTTTATCAATTTTTGACAGCATGACATACTTTTTTCAAAAAAGATGTTCTCTCAGTTTACTAAAATATATCACGTTATATGGTATAAATTCATACAGAAGTCGGAAAATCCTAACGTTAGCTATATGGGGACTAGAGGAGTATTCATTCGATTTTACCCATTTTTCACATATATGAATATGGCATACATTGAAGCAATTGTTTTTACCGTAATATACCGTAAAGTGAAAAAAATTGTTGGAATTTCTAATTCGGGTACATTGAAAGTAGGCGTGTTTGTAGACCCATATATGAGACCCCTCATTACTACGATGCCATTGAAGATACTAATTTGCGTCCTAGCTTTACTACTTTAAAGATATGTCAGTATGTACTTAAGTTATTCCTTGCACGGACAAGCAGTCGCTCGGAATTCAACTCGTTTCCTGTAACGTAAAGTCTTTCAAACAATCGCAAGGTAAACAAGACTATTATACTTCGATGCAACATACTGCGAGAGGATCAAAACATGGAACGTACTTTACATATCTGTTTTATAAATACAGCAACGTATTTCATTACTGACGCCAGAAAGTGTTTGGGTTTTAAGCAAAAAAGTTCGAATAAGTTAGCATTTTTCTGGATGAAAAGTTTTTCATATAATAGGTATTATACTAACTTTGCAAAATTCAGTTATAAAGAGTGATCCGAGAAGACGTACTTCTTTTAGTAGCCTATGTTTTTGACAAATAACGCGAGGGTCGTGTCAAGCTGTCATGCTATTTTTGGTCATGGAGAGACTTACGCCTGCACAAATTTACAAATCGTGCAAATTCAGACACCCAGCATTAATCACTGAATAATATTCGGCCGAATAGACCACTTTCAGCACGCAGTGAAGAAAATATAGCAGCCGTAGCTGAGAGTGTACACGAAGACCGTGGAGAGTCGATTTGGCGCTGCTCACAGCGAACGACTTGGCGCATTTTACGTCGAGATCTTAAATTGAAAGCGTACAAAATACCGCTTGTGCAAGAACTTAAGCCCCCGACCTTCCCAAGCGACGATCCGACGTTTTTGAGCCAAATTTTGTTCAGCGATGAGGTCATTTCTAACTCAATGGGACGAAGAGAAAACGAAGAGCCGGCGGAATCATGACCCATATTAAAAAAAATTAAGTTAGATGTCAATACCTCCCCCAAAGATGTAATTTGCATAATTTTTACAGAGATAGGATTGCTATAAATATTTAAGTATGTATCTCTCTATGCTCCTTCGTAGTTTTAGTCCAATGTCGAGTGGTAGATAGCATTGTTCCAAGACTCTATAACTCCAAGAATAAATGTAGTACTTCCGACTAAAATTACGCAGTTCAATGGGTCATATACATGTGTGAATAGTACATATGAATATGTCACAATATTTAGATGTGTTGAAATATTACGTAAAAATATTGTTACAATTGCCATATTAAAAACGTGCCAAACCAATTTTGTGAATTATAAAAATGAGTGCAGTTATTTAGTGCGGTAATAATTGCTACAAATATACAAGCACACATACATATGGCAATAATTAAAGTTAAGCGCGTACTAACCATGTGGGCAATTAAGTTGATGACATCTTTGTAACAGCAGTTGGACTAAACGTGCAAATTTAATGTTAGAAGCCCTCTATCACCTGACGCGACTACACCAACATACATAAGTGCATATATACATATGTTCATATGTATATATATATATATATGTATGTATACTTTTGCTGAGGATGATGTGTCGAGGCAGATAACGGCTTTGTTGCATAATAGCACGACATTATAATGTAACACTACTACAAGCACACACGCACATACGTGACATCCACAATTGGCATGTGATATGCATCAAATTAATTTTGATGCAATTACCATAAGTTGGTTTTTGTAACACACTTCAGGTGCAAGCCAACACGTCGACGTTGTAATTGGCAGCGTGAAAGCGAAATGATTCAGCGGCAGGTAAATTGTGGCGAACATTGCAAGTCAAATTTGGTAAAAATGAGTAAATAAACAAATAAACGAAAAATAGTTAACATTTCTCGATTACACAGCAACAATAAGTCATGAATACAAGCGAATGAAAAACAATAAAGCATTATCACCGCAGGCGAATGGCCCCGCCAACCAAGTGGAAGCGCGCCAGTTTTCACTTTCTTTGGCAAATTTAATGATAACAACAACAATAAGCGTAAAAGCCACAAATATTGCATGCAGCAATGCAGTGCTTAGTTACGCCGAGGGAACATCACATGTACACATTTCAAGAAGTTATAAAACGAAAATTACAACACCCAAATGCAAGGCACAAAAGGTGGAAGGAAAGAAAGGTGAACAAATTGCCTGCCTTTGAATATAGGAATAAGTCCATGTGTGAGAGTATAGAAGAGATAGAGGCAGACAATTGAAAAGTAAAGAGAACAAATATTAAACAATGTTGGAATATTCATGAACTCTCAGAGAATATTGAAATGTGAAGCAGAAAAAAATCAATAACCGCCTAGTCGCCAATGATTTTTTTTTTTGATATTCAATTTCTATAAAAGTAGAATTATGTATGTTGAAATTTTCATATTATTTATATTCAACTTATTCCATTGAGGAAGTGCTTCCAAATTATGATTTTTTATCACATTTCGAGTCACTGCAAGACCAGAGTAAATGCGTATTTTTCGCATTTCAAATTTACGTAACCAAAAATTAATTGTATTATTTAATCTTTAATGCACAGATTTAATAAATCTTTTTTTTTTTTTGGTGGTTAATGAAATGTTCATGACATGAAATGAGAGTTCTTGGTATTCGACTAAACGACTTGCAACTATTCAAATAGTATTAATCGGTTAATATTCATAAGAACGGTTACAAACCGAATAATCGATTTTCAGGTTATTCGAATAATTTTTAAATCACAGTATGGGTTATTAGTCCTGAAAAAGGTATGAAATGAAAATCGAATCCATTTCCAATAAGAAGTAAAACAATTTCGTTGGAAATATGATCACCTCAGCATATCACCCATATAATTTCTTAGAATAGCACATTAAAACTCTGCCTATAATTTTTGTATAAGCGTTGAAGTATTTGTTTTTTTCAGTTTTGAAACGACAAACCCAACAAATTAGTCGACTGTGAAACTCGGGTAAGTGGTCAAATTCTAGTCGTGGGCTTACATTCCAAGTTTACATTAAGACTTAAAACCTAATTGTGATTTCCTTAGAGATATTAAGCAATCCGATTGTCCATGGAATAATTTTTACGAAATTTTGTTTTATTACATAACATCATAATAAGGATTTAACAACTATCTAAATAAGACCAAAATTAACATAACCAAATTATTATTTCTGTTATAACGTTCAAACCGATTTAATTACACCCTTTTTAATTAAAACAAGAAAAAACGTTTACTTCGGCTGCCCCGAAGCTAATATACCCTTCACAGGTGCATTTCTTTGACTAACTATGTGACCAGTTCGTATGGAAGCTATATGCTGTAGTAGTCCGTTCTGAACAATTTCTTCGGAGATTACATTTTTGCCTTAGAAAATAATCTATACCAAATTTTTAAAGATACCACGTATAGTAAATAAGTAAGTAATTTCTTCGTATATTACATTATTATCTTAGAAAATAACCTGTGTCAACTTTTGTGAAAATACATTGTGAAATGTGAAAGTTTTCCATACAAGAACTTGATTCCGATCGTTCAGTTTGTATGGCAGCTATATGTAATAGTGGTCCGATATCGGCAGTTCCGACAAATGAGCAGCTTCTTGAAGAGAAAATGATGTTTACAAAATTTCAAAACGATATCTTAAAACCTGAGGGACTTGTTCGTATATATACAGGCAGACGGACAGACGGACATGACTAAATCTGACTCTACTGACCATTTGTATATATACTTTATAGGGTCTCCGCCCTTCCTTCCCTGTATTACAAACTTAGTGACAAACTTAATATACCCTGTTCGGGGTATAAATATTTTGTATAATTATTATTATTATAAGCGAGTGTCAACATTTTTTATTATCTACCCATTTCAGAGCTTAAATGGAAGTTTTTTCACTTAATACACGAGTTATAAGAGTTATAATAAACACCAAACGCAACTGAAAAAAAGTTCGAAAAAATTAAAAGTAAATCCTACACAAAAGTTAAAGATAATTAGCATACGTTTTGCTCTCTACTTTTCGTGACTTTCTTTCATTTTGTTTTCAGGCTGCAACCTAAAAACTCCACTAAAATGAATAAAACACTCATGTATTTTAATTTCCATTTTGTTTTTGCAAATAAATCGCGCTTCATAATCAACTTAATTGCAGCTCATATTTTGCCATCTCTACACGCCCCAAGCGGCAGCGCGCCACACAGAAGCAGGTGCGCTCTTCATTTTATGTATACACACACATATACACACTTGCAAGTGCATAGCTGTACTTTTGAGTTTGACTTGGAATATTCTTTCAGGTTGCCACTTACGTTGCTGCTACTTGAATTCTTCGTTTTCTTCTCCTTATGCAGCAGAATGTTTTTAAGGCTTTGGCGCCAAATATTTCATGCTAATGTTGTGTATGTATGTATGCGCGCAGTAAAGCACTACTGCCTTGTCATCAAAGCGTGTTTTTAATTTCCGACAATTTCGTTCTGCTTTAATTTTGTGTTTACTTTCTCTCACCCTTGTCATGTTTCATATTAGTTTTTACGGTTTTGCAACATGTTGCTCAGAGTATAATAGTTTTGCCAACGTAACGGTTGTTTGTTTCACCTAAATCTAATCGATATTAATATGGTTTTGTCGTTGTTGTACCCGAATTTAACCCTTCCTTACTTGCTGTATTATATCCTTATACCTTAAACAAGATATAATAAATTTACCACAAAGTACTATATGTAAAACCCAGAAGGAACCCTCCGAGACCTTATAAATCATACCTAATATTTAAATGATTACCGAGATGAGTCAATTTCCATTTGTCTGGCTGTGGTTTTTTCACCTGCACGTTTGTCGGAACCGTCCATAGCGGAAAAAATCGAATTCTGATATGTTATCTTTTGTTTCGACAAGATATCTTAATGAAATTCGGCATGTGATATTTTCCACGGCCAGGGTACAATCTCCGTTCAAATTGTTCGGATCGACTACTATAGCTAGGTTATATCCGTCATAAACATTACTATGTATTTGTTTTATTTGTTGTAAAGGGAATTATAGCTGCGGTGCAGCCGAAGTCAATGTTTTCTCTAGATTTGTTTTGACTCAGTAAATTACTGTAATTTTAAGGTATAATCTGGACGAAAGCCGGGAAAGTGCCATCGGGTGTAGTTAAAACTTGATTTTAAAAATGTTACGAAAGAATTCAACATCCATATTTCGACGAAATCGTGAATGAATTACCACTAAATTTGAAATTTTATTAAGTTATGTTACAGGTAATAGGCTCACTTGGTTTTATTACTACATCTTACTTCGCGTCTGTTAAATTAATGTGCAAATTATCGTCACAAAAGACATATCTGAAATAAACTCAACCGAAGAGTCTAAATTTTGTGTAGTGAGTTGACGTGGAAAACGTGAACCAAAAGATCGGAATTTATTACATTGGGGATATCTTCACACAACTTGCCCGTTTTAGGCACAAAAATGCACAGTTATTTGAAAAACTGGCTTTACCAATTTTTGAAAGGTAGACTGTTATTAGGAATGGATTCTCTCCAATCTTCTATTATATATCTCACAAATGCGATAAAATGTTCTTTAAGTGAACTAAGCTGTTGTACTCAGTAGCAAAATGTTTCAAGAGTATAAAATATGGAATACTTTAATTTTACTTTCCAAATCTTGTCACGTATTTTACAAATAAAAATATATTTTAAATATAATTCAGTACGTACATACACTGCTAATAAGTAATTCAAATTTATTCCTATTCAAATTCAAATTTCTCGTGTAACAGTATGGTCGTTGTGAGAAGGTTCCATATTCCTGCCAGCAAAATTTTATTAACCGTTTAGCAGAATTCCAAGTTTATTTACAATACAGATTATTAGTAAAATATTCAAATGAGCAATTACCTACGAGCTTTTAGTGCATGCGTTATCCATTGCCGGATAATATATGTATGAAAATATTCATAATAATACCACGTGGGAAATTAACGAACATGGCTATTCAAATGAAACAGGTGCGTGATTCCAATCGATTCAGATTTGCATGCAGCTATATGTTATATGTATTTGTCCGATATCTGTGAGTGTGATTCGTCTCCGGAAAATGAGCAGCTTCTTGGGGAGAAGAGAGTGTCCAGAATTTGCAGAGGAAATGGCTAAAGCGACTGAGCTCGTCATACTGACAAAATATGTATATACTTAATAGGGTATAGGACGACATCGAGCAATGGATAATTGCTAAACAATCAACGATGACTCTAAAGTCATATCTCATATATTACAAGGGTTAATCACCCATTTTTATCACGGCAATTAGTGAAGAGGTCCACAGCCTCGAACTTGCCTTTTCCTTATACTCTTACCAAAGGGACAGCATCTCCTTCTAGAAAAATCCATATCAGAAAAACGAACTGAGACTTATACTGCAGGAAGCTCCGGCTAGCCGTTCTAGACACGGTACGGGAAAAAGCCTTGCTCTGTTCAGAAGCGATGAAAAAGTATGTCGAAGTGCTTAGCACTGTTTGTAAAGAATCCTCAGATAAGTCTTGCTCAATTACATCAACAAGTGGCAGGAGCAACCCTTTTGGTGGACATTGAAATTCTGGGAAATCAAGGCTTCATGTGGACGGCTTTTTAACAAGGCCCATATGAGTGGTACAACTAGCGATTGGGCATTATACAAGGCAGGACTCATATAATAATAGTCAGAAATAAGAAAGGAAAGGTGGAGGATTCGAGGTTCAAACACATCCCCGCAAAGAACGTCCTTCCCTTTTGGTATACTCACTTTCGGGCAATCCCTCCCGTGGAGTAGTGCGTTTCGGAGTATCTGATGAGAACTGCACATTATTTTCTAGAGTTCTAGATGAACGTGACCAGATATGGGCGATTAACCCTTTAAACTATTATATGCGAACTGCATTAGATAGGGATACATTCCTAAGAACTGATAGCAGATTATGGTTGTGATCATTCCGAAATCCGGTAAGAGATCGCAAATATCGCCCAAGGAGTTTAGACACATCAATCCCTCCTCTTTCTTATTGAATGCATTAGAGAGATAGATAGATCTGCCATGAGATGTGGTATCATAAAATTTGTTTCAAGGGCACAGCCTACCTATTGCAAATTTAGATCGTTTAATATTGCCTTGTAAACTCTTGCCATTGTTTCGATAGGATCATAAGACCCTTCCTCGATATCGAAGAGTGCATTATGATTGAATATGTCACCGGATGCTAGCTGCTTGGAAGAAGACTTCCTACTTGAATTTTCCGCTTTCGACAGATCAAGTCAAAAACTCCTCGAATCTCATCATTCAAGATATCCACGAGAAATAGCGATAATAGAAATAAAACATCTTATCAGATGTTTGATATGCTTAGAATGTTTTTGTGACAGCTGATATTCAAATATTCAACATCAGGACTTTTCGATTGGCATCACAAAGGACCGTACATAGCAGCATAAGTGTGGAATCACAAAACTAATACACTTTGTCAAAATATTCGATTCCCGAGCGACTCCAGCAAAAAGTGTTGTAATAACAAAAACTGAATAATCGCCATTGAAGTTGCGAAGTTTAAAAAATTGTTTTAACGTAAATAACAATAGCAAGTAAAGGGAGCAGAAAGTCCCTTGCTGTGATATGGTCGTGACATATTTTTGATATTAAATGTTTTTGTCAGGCTGTCACTTCCGGGAATACGAACACAAAGGGTAGTTCATAGACTATATAGATTGATTTTGTTAGTTGGTTTTGAGGCTTTGCAAAGTAAATTGTCAGTCTAGCGAACTGCGTTTCGTAATTTAATTTTGTTACTGCTAAATGTAAAACTGATTGAAATATTTATTAAGTACACTGATGAAAACGGCTGACCTCGAAAACGTACTACTGCAGAGTATCGATCGGTAAGACTGCAGTATTTAGACGTCGTCGGTATTGAAAGTCAAACAACATTGCAAAATGATGCGCTGTATTGAACATAATTTCTTAAGTTTCCACGAAATTGGAAGCACAAACATCATTCAAATATTCATGAAAATATATTATATTATTGCCATCATAAGTATATTTCTTGGCTAAATCTCTGAATATAAAGCAAAATTAAAAAAAAAAGTGCAAATTGATAGACGTCAAAATACCAAAAAACTTTTAAGGTGCCATAAGTAAGGAGCAGGCTATAGCAGTAGCGAGGGGCACCTGTGGGCCACAATTTTTGGAAAAAAATGGGCGTGGTCTAGCTGTCTAATAGGCATAAGCGCACCAACATAAGAATATAATCAAACCACCCTGTAAAGGCTAGAGATGGAAGTCCGCATTTGACTTATAGCAAAAAGATATTTATATAAATGTGTTGAAATGTTTCGTTATTTTGACTGCGTGCATTTCGTGTGATTGATGTGGTGAAAAGAAGTTACGTGCAAAATAAAAGCAAAATCCTTTAAAGTATTGTTATTATTATAGAAGATGGAGTACTTATACTTTTTATTTAATACCTTCATTGATTATATAATTATTCTGAGGAACTGTTCGCACCAATATAGCATAAATTAGTGCATAAAGATCTTTAAATTTTTCATAAAAGGCAATTAACATGTTTCCCGGTTTATCATTATTCAAGCTGGTAATACCTATATGAAAACCTATGAATTCTTTACGTTAGAAAATTCACAATATGAATTAACATTGCCGCATTTCTGAGTGAATGTTTAAATTAATTATATTCAATTCGTTTATCTCAGCATCTAAACTAAAAAAATCCCCCCGCCAGTTCCTTGACCAAACCGAAGCCGGAAAATTGACACGGCTGAATCTCTCCCGTTTTCCAAAACAGGAAGTTTAATCGATACTTCATGTAGTGGTTACTTTGCAGGTTGTCAAATAATTCTTGAACATAAAATTTCACTTAAAAATATGTGAAACAGCACTATCTCTAAACTCACTAACTCATTCATTTTGAATGAAATGAGTTGAGAAATATTTCATTTAGGAACTGGAAAGAGGAAAAGCAGCAGTTTTCTCATTGCGAGGAAAAATTAATTGTTATTATTTGTGGTAATTTAAATTTATCGTAAGATGTATTGTATTCTTAAGTTAACTGTTCATTGGCCAATTATTGTTGATTTTCTGTTTTAAGTCAAGTCCTTGTTCTTTTTTCTTTTTATTATTTCAGTATACAAATTGACTTAATATAAACTCACACGAAAATTGCCGCAGGAGATAGCTCTTCATTAGTAAAACACAAATACGGATATTAACTACAACAAAGGACTGCAAAATCCCGGAGACTAAAGAAACGCTAACAAAGGCAAACGTTAAAGAGAACAAACAAGCAGAGTCAAAGTCAGCAAATTTATTCCTCAAGTCGCATTTTTCCGTGATGTGATTGATAAAATGCTGTTGAGGTCAATTGGGTGAAAGAATATTGGTGAAACCTAGCAATTACACCGCTGATGGTAATAGGCATAAATCGAGGGATAGTACCCCAAGTGGCAAGTATAGCGATGCCAACAGAAGATCAGAGGCCGAATAATTTAGCAAAAATGTCACACACATTTCACCCAAAACAAAAAACAATAACAACAGTGATACCTACCAGCACAACTTGTAACGGTAAATACGAGAACCAACAACATCGACAGCGAAGCAGTATCGCGCATAATAGAAAACACGCTCCACAGCGACAACGACCCTCCCGCGGCACCTGTCCCACCCACAAGAGTAATGTGTTCAGCAACAGCGCACAAGTCAGGATGCTATGGATGGCACAGTTATTCACAGTGGCAGCATTCTTGATGTGTCACAGCATGGCAATTGTTAACGCAACAGCAGTGCAAACACCACACGCTCTCAGCAGGGGAGTAATCAACACTGACTCTGATACAGCCGGCCACAGAGCAATGCGGGCGGCGCAATATAGTCAACCGTTGACCGTTGAGAGGGGAATGTACAATGCGGATATCAATAGCTTCCTGCCGATTATCCCTAAGGACATTAGTCCAGAATATATTGCACAAAATGTGTTTACCAAAGGAGGTCAGTATCGCGTGTTTGAGCCCACAGATAGCGACCTGCGCACCCAAATGACAATGGGTCAGAAGGTAAACCGTGTCGATGGCGTGGAGGTGAACGCCAACGCACAGAACAATGTCAGCTTAGTGGTCGATATCAGTAGAGCTACGGACGAAAACATAAAAACTACAGCCGAAGGAGCAATGGTCGCAAAGTTGAAGGAACAAACAAATTCCAAGCAAGAGACTGAGGAGAAAGCAACGCTCAGCCTAAGTGCTGGAAAAAACGAAAAGCCACTAAAGCAATCAGAGCAGGCACTTCACAAAGTGGGTGCATCAACTAACATCTCAGCACCAGCAACAGCAACATTTATGATACACAAAAGCAAAGCATTGCCGAACTCTTTTAATGTTGAGCAGCTAGCTTTAGAAGAAAGAAAGATAGCAAGAGGGCACAAAGAAAACTTCAAACCGCATCCAACAACAACAACAGACTTTGCGGATGTCTCTCAAAATACAGTTGGTGGTGATATAAAAGAACTGGAGGCCTTGTTGTTCGAATATGCGGAGAATTTCTTTAACAAAGCCCAATATGAGCCTTCTAGTGAGCTGGTAAATGCATTGCAACAAAATCACACGATGGTCGGTGACCCGCACAAAGAGCGTCCGACACGGCATGCCGATGCCAACCCACACCATCACCATCACAACCACCTGCACCACCGCCAGCATTCCTTGCCAGCTATTGTGCGTAAGCCAGATGCCAATGTGAGTGTGAATATTCCGCGTGCCTTGGAATCGGGAAGGCTGCTCTTCTTTTCAGGTGCGTTTCAATGTGCTATTTGCATACATTTCGAAAATTCATTTATTTATTTTTTCTGCTAACTCCATTTTATAGGTTTGAAAAAGGCATTATGGCCAGTGTATATCGGCTTGCAGGTGCTGAAATCGCTGCTTTTGGCTTTGTTTATGCCGGTATTGATTGGGTCATTCAGCAAATTCCTGGGCAAGGGTAAGTGTATTTGATGGAAAATTGCAAATTCTTGGAGCAATTACGCGTAGTAGTAGCTTTATTAGTGTTGTTGCTTTAATGTGCAAAACAGCTGACCTAATTGGTGATGCCTGACTTCAATGTTAGGATTAAAACTTTAATTAGCTTCATTGATCTTTGGATAAATATTTAACCAAATTATCGTAACATCAGATGTTTAAGTTTATTTATTATTATCGTTTACACAAAATAAAGACTTTGACCTTCGCCATCCCTTTTTAAATTCAAATTTTCTATGGTACAAATCTAGAACAAGCTGGTGTCCAGATGTTCTCTTGCTTTCTTGCACTGAATCTATCATCTCTATGGACGTGACGTGGGAGCTCAGGTGTTCTGGCCCAAATTTTAAAGAGGCTTCACTGAACTACTTGCTCTAAGTAAGGCTTAACTTGCAAAAATATAAGAGTTCTTATTGCTATATTCGAGGCTAAATTTACTATCGAACTCAGAAAGACAAAAATTTTGACATTTTCCTGCCCACTCTTCACGTTTGCGTTGATGCTCCAGATCTCCTGTCCGATTAACTACGGCGACCATTTTAAACGAATCGTTAAAAATGTTTGGGTTACATTTACATAATTGAATTGATTAACTTTAGTGATTACTTAGAGACGAGATATGGACTATTTTAAGGGATGAGTTGCTATCAGGGTATTTTACCGACCCTTATCTTGCAAAATTTTAGTTGGGTTTGGCCCATAAATTAATAATCCTGAGTAAGTGTTTATGTTATGTTTGAATGCGACAAGAAACCAAAGTAATACCGTTTGAAATTGTTGCACCAATTTAGTTGGGTCTCACCATTATATGGTATGACTTGAAAGTTCTTCGATCATAAATAAGTTCTGCTGTCAAGACCTTTCAAGTGGCATGGCGAATATTGGTGAACCATTTTCTGATAAAGTCAAATTGCCGAGTTAGACGTGTGTTAACTTGCTCTGGCCTTTTGACGAAATTCAAGGGTGCCTGCAGAGTGAAAGCTGATTTTGATCAGCGCTGCTCGATTTTAGGTACCGCAGAGTGGATATGAGAATCAGAATGAAATTTAATTAGCTTCACCATTTTTTTTAAGCCAAAGCCAAAGCGTTGCGGTCTGCTCGACTTTGAGCATTTACTGTGTAGACACCCTAAGACGCTAGCTACTAGTCCATACATTGGTCAATCTGTCATTTTTATGGTTTCTGATAATTAGTTGATGTAAATAGAGTTATTACTGCAGGTGGTTCAGTAAACATTTCAGAGCGACGTGGTCAAAAAAGTTTTATTTCCCCTAGCAAGCACGCCCAGATATGGATTTCTCCAATAATTTCAAGTAAAGAGTTGATTCGCCATAAATGCCTCAATGGCGTAGGACATTACATTATATATGTATGTATGTAATAATATATAACATCAGTTGAATCTGAAAAAATTAAAGTAGTGCAAAATTTTACGAAAATTGGTCGTTTGTATAATAAAATAAAATGGAAATGTGTTTTAGGCATCGTGTCCGGTTCTGCACCGCTCTTCATACGTCCGCCAGACACGCCTCAGGATCTAGACTTCCGTGATAATACCATAAATTTCGATGACGACAAGTTCGCCGCCGTCGAGGAGGGCACAAAAGAGGATGGCTATGGCTACAATCAAGCAGGTAAGTTAACCTAAAATGGATCTATTTCTTATTTCACTATGAACTGTCTTTCGCAGAGGCATCGCAAACACACTACACCTACAATGCAGCAGGTGGCATAAATCGCATTGAACAGCAAAACAAAATGCCAGATACCTATTTGAGTGCATTACAGACCATCGGTTCTGCGTCGTTCAAAAATTCCGGTTCGCTTTCGGGCAGCTTCTCTGGGGGAGGTTTGGGCGGAGGTGGAATCGGCGCACCCATGCGCACAAAACCAATTGCACCAGCAAACACAAACACTTTCCAGACTTTCCAAAAGGTGCCAGCCTCGTCGCTGCTACTTTCCAACTACGACCCCTTCTACAGTCCACTGCTCTCACGTTTGGACTCTGTTTTCGCGCAATTGAAAATAAATTCCGACAACGAGAACTGTCGTGAAAAGCTGATTTGTCTAATGTATGCAAATCCAGCGAAATATGCGCCCTACAGTAACCTTGTGTCAGCGCAATTATCGCGGTAAGTTTCGTCTGAAAATCATATATGTATGTACATATGTATGACCAGTATTGGTATGAATCATAATTGACGATGCCTAAAAGTAGGCAACGCCATTTATCTTTAATAGCTACCGTTTGATCAGACCACGACTTCATACTTGATGGTGTGGCTGAGAATCTGCATATATTGTTTGTAAGTCGTAAACCTAAAAGAGTCAGATATAGGGTTATATATACCAAAGTGACCAGGGTGACGAGTAGAGTTGAAATCCGGACGTCTGTCTGTCCGTCCGTCCGTCTGTCCGTCCGTCCGTGCAAGCTGTAACTTGAGTAAAAGTTGAGATATCATGATGAAACTTGGTATGCGTATTTTTTGGCTCCATAAGAAGGTTAAGTTCGAAGATGGATAAAATCGGCTCACTGCCACGCCTACAAAATGGCGAAAACCGAAAAGTGTCATAACTAAGCCATAAATAAAGATATTAAAGTGAAATTTGGCACGAAGGATTGCACTAGGGAGTGGCATATTTGGACGTAATTTTTTTGGAAAAGTGGGAGTGGCCCCGACCCCTACTAATTTTTATGAACATATCTCGGAAACTACTATAGCTACATTAACCAAACTCTATAGAGTCGTTTCCTTCAGGCATTTCCATATACAGTTCAAAAATGGAAGAAATCGGGTAATAACCACGCCCACCTCCCATACAAAGGTTATGTCAAAAATCACTAAAAGCGCGTTAACCGACTACCAAAAAACGTCAGAAACACTAAATTTTACGGAAGAAATGGCAGAAGGAAGCTGCACACAGGCTTTTGTTTTTTAATTGAAAATGGGCGTGGCGTCGCCCACTTATGGACCAAAAACCATATCTCAGGAACTACTTGATCGATTTCAATGAAATTCGGTATATAATATTTTCTTAACACCCTGATGACATGTACGAAATATGGGTGAAATCGGTTCACAACCACGCCTTCTTCCAATATAACGCTATTTTGAATTCCATCTGATGCCTTCTCTGTATAATATATACATTAGGAACCAATGATGATAGATGAATAAAACTTTACACAAATACGGTATTTGAGCTGAGGTATCCCTTGTGGAAAAATTGTCGTGATCGGACTATAACTTTTCAAGGTCCCTGATATCGAACACGAAGAACTCAGTGCCTAACCTAACCTAACCTAATTTTTCATCATTTTTATACTCTCGCAATAAAGTTGCTAATAACGGTATATATCGTCAGATATATGGTTACATATACTAAAGTGATCAGAGTGACGAGTAGAGTTGAAATCTCGATGTCTGTCGATCCGTCCGTGCAAGCTGTGACTTGAGTAAAAATTGAGATATTTTGATGAAACTTGTAATGCGAGAGTATAAAATGTTCGGTGACACCCGAACTTAGCTCTACCTTACTTGTTTAAATAAACATTTATTATAAATGTATCCCATAAATGCTGTTGCTTAATAGGAATTTAATAAATTATGAAACAAACAAAGAAAAAACAACCGAATTTTAACGATTTTTTATATGAAAACTCAAAATTCGTTTCAAAATCTAAAATAAAGGCTTAAGAAGTGTTATTTGTATTATATTAGGTGCGATTCCCCTTTTAAAAATTAATATCAGTGAATTTTTCCATTTTTCTAAAATCCGGGAAGAATTTTGCTTCGACGCGTGGCAACAAAAGTTCGGCGGCAATTGCTGTCTAATAGAATGTACCACGGGCAGGCTAAGTGCTTATGGTACTGTTTTCCTTGTACTTATTTTCGTTTGGAATTGTTAGTCTCTGTAGGAATATTAAACATAATATATATATATATTTGTTTCCTTATTCTTTTCTTCTCTTCCCTTAGGATCGAATCGCTTCTAAAATTACAATATCTCTGTGGTCCGCTTTGTCTCTAGGATGGTTTCAAAACTATCAATATAGTATCCTATTTTATACTAGAAAAGTGGTTCTAAAAACTCTTTCGCAAAGAGGAACTTTGAGTAATGTATCCAAGAGATTATATTATAATACTCATAGCTTACTATTTTACACAAATTATTTGTTACTAGATTATATTAAGTTTCAGAGTGCCGCATTAACAATTAAATATATAAAACATCAAATCACAAACACGCGAAAATGATTAAAAATGCGATAATAACAGTATGATTTTATAAAATTTGCCTTCGGCTATTGAAAAATTTAAGCGAGCCCTTAAGATAGTCCATTTAAAATATTCTTTTCGCATTTAAGCAGCGCTCATCCAACATACTAAGCTTCAGCTAATCCTTTGTTTGATTACATTTTACGTTTGCAATTTGGCAAAACCGTTTTAACAACCAGTTTATCAGCACACTTGTGTATTCTATGCCTTTGTAATGCCACTGGAATGTGCAAGAAACGCGTTGCTTATGTATGCTCATTTATACTATATATATACGTAACAATGTCTTCCGATGGCCTTTTCCATCACAGAGCAAAAACAAAATAGTAAACTTACGATTTGCTGAATATCTGCCTATCAAAGAAGGTTACTCATACGCCACGGCAAACACTTAGAACTGAATGAGAGAATGTTAGCAAAGAGGGTATGTCCAATAATATTTTAGGCAGTAGAAAGGTAGTTCAGCTACAGATGCGCAACTTCCCTTACAATTGTGTTGTATTTGTGGATGTGTGTGTGTTGAAATCGCAAATGCCGCTTCCAAAGAGATTTTTCCCTAAAGTTCACAACAAGATATTGTACATTATTTACTTGAATGTCTGCACAAACTTATGAGAAAATCCTTTTATAATTTTTATTTATTTGTGCAATTCGTGATTTAACTGTTTCTTATCATTTTTCATTTGATATCTTGCAGTGAGTTGAATGAACTGCGCAAACCAACTTCTGATAATCCAGATATTTTGAGATTCTTCAAGTATATGCGCGCCGCCAAGGACGGGCAGGATGGCATTGATTGTGAAAAATCGTTTGATCGTTGTCAGGAATTTAAGGATTTCGAGAATCCAGCCATGGTCTCAACATATCACGACATCAACAAATTGGTATCAGCACGGAAGTTGGCGTAGATGGGAATGAACCGTCGTCTGAGTAAGGGATAGTAATAGCAGAAGTGCAAAATAAGCTGGCAAAAGGAAAGAAGACGAAATGGATAAGCGTAAAAGAAAATGATTAACGAGCGAGAATTTAGAACATTGACATTAAAAACTCAGACTTGAGGGCGTGCAAGTACTGTGTGGACTAAAATATATGTATGCGTAGAATGTTAAAGGAAATAAATCGAGAATCAATTAATCTTGTAAAAAATGAACCATTCATTCATTCATTGGCCAACAAATTTTAGACGGCAATTTCGTATGCATTATATTATTTTAAAATTATCATTAAATTCTCGACTTTGTTGCCCTCTGCTTGCAAAGACTTAAAGTGCCCAAAACGAATGCCTTACGAATTTAATCATAAAAAATTATGATAATAGCAAAAATACATCAAACTGAATGAAAAAAATTATTGTAAATAATTGGCATGAAATTTACGATTATACGTATATTTATTTGTAAATTAATTTATTTAATTAATCTTAAATTATTTATTTATTTACATATATATATATATATAATACCTGCAAATATTGCTAGTAAAATTATTGAATAAATTATTTATAGCACTTGCTCTGGGCATAAGTAGCAAACCTGCCTATATGTATACACATATCCGTACAGTCGGGTATAAAATTACTTCCACATGAAATACAGCTTGAAACTTGAGTTACACTTTAATTGCATGTGTTAAAAGAGGAATGACCTCGAGCTCTCTGACAGGATAATTTCCTCGTAAGACTTATAAGCTGTAGCACTTAAGTTATAATGACTTTGAAATAGAAAATTTAAGAATATGTGTGCTTGTAGCTTAATTAAAGCGTTTTATTTGACTTTAAACATAAAACCTTTCTACATAACACATGAAAGGTTAGAATTTGATTTCATATTTACTAATTTAAAATAAATAATACAACGTCTCACGTATAAGTGTATTTTAAGCTTTAATGCGAAGCCTAGATGGCGAAGTTTTAGTCATTACAGTTCTATTAAATTGTTTATATTTATAACTGTCATTGTTATGCTTTTTAATAATAATATATAGCCAATAAAATTTAGTACAAACTTAACGGAAATATCATACAAAAATTATTAGGAAATTGCTTCAATGATTGTATATATTATATATTATATATATCGGTTTTTGAAAAATCTTTATAAGTGCAAAACAGCAAGTTTCCGATTAAAAGGTCAGTAGGGTAATCCTTTTTTTCAACGTTTTTTTTAATTTTTATTTTTTGCATTTTCTATTCTGTCATACCTTTAGAATTAATGTAAAAACCCGCTTTAAATTTCGATGGTTTCGAAAACAGCGTTTATCTCAAAGCACACTTTTTAAACTGTAGGACAAGGATCCCGATCGAAGTACTCAACCGCTTTGCTTAATTCAAAAACGCCTGACTATTGTCCCTATATTTTTTATAATTTATTGACAATGTTATGACAAAATGTATGTAAAAAACATGGGAAAATTTAAAAGAAAACAATTACTTTTTTATTGATCAAAGTTTTTTCATGATTCTAGTTAGGACGATAACCATTCACGTACTCCTTAACAATATATTGTGTTTTTGTGTTTCAGATGATCCAAACATGAGAAACTGGTCCGCCAGTGAAAAAACGCATCTCATTGACCCAGCCATTTCTCTGACAGATGTCGGCAAAAATTCCGAAAAAATTTGTTTATACACTCCACGATATACTACATGATATGTGAAAAAAGTTCTATTGTAAATAAAAAATTTCAAAAAAACATTCCAGATTACCCTACTGACCCCTTATCTAAAAATGATCGTGTAATATATGTTGAATGTGGAAATTCGGAAAAGATTGAAATATAAAAAAAAGAACTATACGTTCTGAAAGAATCGAGCAGATTGTGGGGTCTCCCTTTTTGTGGATCGGGCAGAGTACACTTAAAATCCAATCGTCCGGCATGCTTTCATCCAACAATATTCTAAAAAGAACTGTTGCATGCTCGGGTTAGCCCTCTCCTGGCGTCATGTTTTCACTGCCGATCAGCAGGCTGGAAAAGTGTTCCCTCTATAATTTCAGTACGTTCTGAGCATCAGTTACTAAATCACCAGTGAGTATCCTTTAAGAGTATACTGCGGTCTTGAAACCTTCTGTTAGTGGAGGTATCTTCTCGTACGATTTTCGAGCATTACCCCGCTTGGCCAGCTTGTAAAGCTCTTCCTACTCACGCATTTCGACCTCTCTCCGTTTTGTTGCAAATACGTCTCGCTTCGATTATAATGTTACGAGATATCCGTGGCAATATGACACTCCTCATAGTACTAGCTGTTGGTTTGCCTTTACTGAAAACCAATGGTTTCGTTTACAGCTGCACGTAAGGAGCATGAAATGCCGTCTCACAGTTCCGTTATACCGAGTTGCTGATGAGTGCTCTAAAAGAACAGGGGTGTAGTTCGAGTAGAAGATCGCTCGATTGTCGGTTGTGATTGCGGCTTCTCGACGTCGAATCTTCCTTGTTGTTGTTGAAATGCGTTTTTTGCTGCAGAGAGGCGAGTGCGTGTCTTGGCTGCAACAAGTGGTCCGACTTCGGAGCGTAGATACATTTAAAACACGCGAGACATGTCTTCCATATTTTCGATCCGAAGACAGCGACCTGGTTTAATTAATTTTTTATATGCTACAATCTAGTACTACTGATAACGGATCGTAAAAGTCCTTAACACGTTTTCAGGGGCCGTCATCAAAAGGGGGATCTCTCATCACCATTATTATTGCTTTCCCAAAATTGCTGTTGCCGTGTAAATCCGGTAAAATACGATCAATATCCTAAGTACGTATTGCACATTTTATTCGGTCATTCTGTGGAGCACCATAACACCAACGAATTTCTGCTCTCTCACCTTGATTGCTAACATGAATTACCGAATTGTAATTTCCGGGCCGAGTGAAGAAATTTGGACACATCTGCTGTTTTTAATAATATTTGGTAATAATTGTTTTGAGTCATCGGTCGTTTCACAGAGGAGGTGTTTAGTTGTGGTAAAATATATAAAACTAGCTCTCGTTTGACTATTAAATTTTGTGTAGATTTATCGTCGAGTAACAAAATGGGTTTACATGACGAAGTTAAATTGACAGAGTCATTACCTTTACTTTTTTACCATTTGTTTTTTACTGTAAACTTCAACATGAAATAAAAATAGATTAAAAATGGTAAAGAAAAGAAAATGTTATTTGTTTATCACAGCTGTTGTCTCAATATCAATATGTACTTATGTATTCTTCAAACTTTAAAAATTTGACCGCAGACGACCCAGATAAAGTTCAGTCTCATCCGATTGAATGTCACGCGTTCAATAACTGCCCAAAAAGCAGAAACCCATAACAGCTTACGATATTTAAATATGTAAATAATTGAACAGCATTCAAGTGGACTCACTTGAAAACCGATGAAAACCCCAATAACAGAGGACATGGCTAACGAACCGAGTGGGTGTGTTGCAACAGCTGTGACAAACGGCAGCAATCGAGAGCAAAAGCAATGGCCGCAAGGCATTAATCTCGGCATAAGCGAACCAAAGTAGAAGACGTAAAGGTAAAAGGCCGAAGGAGATAATGAACCCAGTTGTCTGAGGAAAATGTAAATGTGTTTCAATTTGAGACATCTGACGAACATACAATTTGTTACGAGATATGCATGAGTGTGTGTGTGTGAAGCAGACAATCTCACAGTACGATGCGGTAACAGTAATTGACGATTATTCGCCATAGGCCAACAACATCCAGCCGAGATTCAGACAAACAGCAAATTGATGAATAACAATGAATGCGTTTTTAGTGGTACGGCTTCAGTCGAATGGATTACATAATTCCATGTACACATGTGTGTATGTATGTATGTAGACGTTGTGCCTATGCATTTCGTATTTTCCCGCTTAGCGGTGACTCATCCGCACGGCTAATACTCTACGAACACGTTTTTCGATGAACCGCCGCTTATTGTCGCATTAATGCCATACCGTCGTCTACGGCTTCGAATGAAAGCATCAAGGCTGCGGCGGTATGTAACTCTACCTGGCCGAATATTGGGGTTTTCTCAAGGTGCAAGAAGAGCACATGCGACTCTACACAAAGGGTTAACGTCACCAGTCTGCAGAGAGAGAAAATAACCAAAAATACGTAGAAAACAATCAAAACAAACAATCAACAACCTACCACAACTAAATTGCTGTTGCTATTGTTTTCTCGCATAAATTATATCATATTAGTCCATTATACTCTCGTAACATGCTGCTACAAGGTATTATAGCTTTGTTCTCCTAACGGCTGTTGGTTTCACCCGAACCTAATCAGGCTGAAAGGCATATGGGTAGATTCGGTCCACTACGACGCCTACAAAGTGCCGTTAAGTGAAAACATATAAATTGGTATAACTAAGCAATAAAGTAAGTTAAACTTCTTTATTTACTGTGAAGTTAGATGGTAGCCACCCCAATTTTTATCGGTTAACCTGTAAGGTACCTTAAAGAAAGTTAGAGAGCATCGTTTTTTAGGAATAATATGGCTTGTAGTCAAAAATGGCAAACATTGCTCCACACTTCCCCTAGTCCGCATATAACATCCACTGGATCTATAGAGCATATAACGGTCAATAAATGCGATCTCTTAATGAAGCTAAGAGAGAGATTGGGAAAACCCAATAGTGTATGTTATAATGCCAAATATGGATAAAATCAAGTAAATACTTCCTCCATCCCAAATACACCATATGTAATGATTTCCGACTTTCTACCTGACTTAAAACCGTTTTTGTTGATCAATACAAGTGATCTTTCAATTTTATAATGTTTCATTTAGTTAAGGTTTAGCGCTAAATATGAAAGAAATCCGTCTAGACCGCGGCCTAAGCTCCTCATCATCAATTTTTTCCTCACATGCCCAATAAAATAAATTTAACCTTTCCGGTTGAGTTAATATCACATGTAGTATATTTGAGTATAAAAGTATATTTGAGTATAGGTTTACGACCTATAATATA